GTCACTCCATTTCTTCCTATTCTGTCTTTGTCGGGAAGCTCATCTGAAACTTGTCCACCATAGGTGTCCCTGCTGGTATTTAAAGTACCGGTGGCGTAGCTTTCAGAATTACAGCTATTCACAAGCCACCACATTGCGACAAACTGACAGATGAGTGGTGGACTGACATCTATAAATAAATAGATGTGAATAAATTATAAAATAGATAAGCAGTCCTAGTGTGGCACTGCAGGTTAATGCACTAGACGATTTGCAACTGCAAGGCTGGAAGTTCAACTTAACAACTATATATATAAATTGAAATAATAGATTTTAGCATTTTTTCACATCTGTTTCTTTATGGGGTTATTGATTAGATGACTTTTAGCTCCTTCAATATAGCTTAACGCATATCCTTTTATGGGAGTGTTATTGCTACATGTTTATGTGTCTGTGGTTTTTTTCAAGTGCATGAAACTACTTTACCCTTGCAAGATGCTCCAGAGCACTGCTTCTCAAACATCAGTGTACATAATGATCATACTCATCTGGAGATTGATAACTTAAATTTGAAGATCATTATATTGAGCAAGCACATTATTCGGGTACAAGTCCTCCTCCTTCATAATGGGAAATAAGAGACTTCAAAAAGTTGGTAGAAAAATGCCATTATCTTTTAATTCCCTTCTTTCAAAAAGTTCTTTTTGTTTAAATTGTGAATTGAGTGAAGGTTTATAGGACAGATAATCAGTTTTACCCTCAATTTATCATACGCTTTGTTTCATATCAATGAATGGAATTTCCTCAGTATAACATTACTTGTTCTACTTCCGTCCTGTGATTCAGCTGTTCTGAATTTTGTCGTTTGGTAAATACTACCCTTTTGTTCTCCAGTGGTTGACCATTCTATATTATGCATAACTTACCAGTGTTGTCATTCTCCCTTATGTACTTTTATACCTGAAGGGTGACCAAGGACTGTACAAACCTGACCTTTTTATGATTTTGAGTTTTCTTCCACATTTTCTCTAACTCTAATCAAGACCTTTAATGCGATCTCTTTCTGAGCAGTTTGTATAGTGGTAGTCAGACACCATCTAGTTCTTCTGGTCTCAGGGTAGTGGAAATTGTCATTCATGTGGCCCATTAACCAATGGGAGTTTTCAGTAATCTCCGCAAAGGGAGATTTGGATAGTTGCACCTTAGATAACCACGCATGAAGTTTTAAGATCCCAGTTGCTACCACCAAAGTAGAATGTAGAACATTGTGTTTGTGGATTATGTTATGTCAGTTGACGATGATTTTCCATTAAGTTTTTGAAGTCCCCTTGTAATTCCTTTGAGATTAGTAGAACCGGTATATTTGAACTAATCACATAAATGTTAAATTATATCCTAATAGCACTTTTTTTCCATTTCTACTTTTCCAGATATTTTAAAATTCTCAATTAACTGTATTGGTGAAAACTGGGCAATGTGTGTTGTTCTGTTGTACATAGGGTAGCTCTGGGTTAGAACTGATTCAGTTATACCTAACAACAACATCAGCTAAGCTTTAAGCCATTCACTAATTCTTCATGTAACCCTAAGCATCCATCAACCTCCTTTCCTTCTACTCTTTCAAAATACTGCTGCTGACATCAGAATATAATTTCTCTTTCTCATTGACAAAAGTTTGGCTGTCTTTTCAGTGTTTTTTTTCTCAACTTAATATTGTGATTTGTAGCCACCTCTCTTCATTTCTCTCATTACCTTTTTTATATAATTGCTTCAATAGTGAAATACTCTTAACTCATATTGTCTCATTATTAATAGTTTGTCTCTGAAGAAGGAATATTATATAATTAGATGAAAATATACGAATCGGGCTGCGAACCTAAAGGTCAGCGGTTCAAAACTACCAGCCGCTCCGCGGGAG